GTCTTCTTTTCAAAATACATTTTATATTATCATGTAACAATTTCATTTATAATCATAATTAATAATACCCCACCCCTTTGTTAGGCTTTTTTTTCTTTCTCAAAATACCTATGGTAATTTCATTATCAGGCAATAGTAAATAAGGTATTTAAATGCATTATTATGTTGATTATATTAGTTCAAAAATCCAAAAATTTCACAGACTGACCAATCAAAATAGTGTGGGATAATTTTGGATATTAAATAATTTTTTAAACTAATTATATCAAAATAATAATGCATTTAATTACCATATTTACTATTATGTGGTAATAGAATTACTACATGTATTTTGATATATATATGTATATATATATATATATATATATATATATCTAAAACAAAAAACAAAACAAAACCTATCTCTGTGTTATAATAAGTGATAACACGATATTATACACGATTTATATGTGATATTTGGTCATGTTTTATTGTGTTTTCTTCATTCTCCTAATCTTTTTGAGCTATTATTCTTCCTATTTCGATACTACTCTTCTCGGTTCGTTTGTTTTTGTTTTTATAGGAATAGGGCTCGATTTGCATGGAATTCATTTTGATCACGAGATATTTCTTTATATGGAGCGTTTCTAGCACCAATGGAGCATCAATGGAGTATTTTGGCAGCCTACTCCACAGCTTGGTTGTGGCGTGCAACCTTATGGGCACAACCTGGTTGTGGGCGTCCATTATTATTGGAGCAAAGGAGAGGCGAAGACAGCCCGCTCCACAGCCTGGTTGTGGGCGTCCATTATTATTGGAGCAAAGGAGAGGCGAAGACAACCCGCTCCACAGCCTGGTTGTGGCAGTATTCTTCGTGCCACAACCTACCTGTGGAAGCTTGTTTCGGTGGCGTTTGAGAGTCTTATTTAGATAAAAAATACCTAGTTTTATGCAAGGATATAAATAGATTTTAGATAATCTTTTATGGAGGTTTTTTTATCACTTTTTCAGATATTATTTTTAGACTTCTTTTTAGGTATTACGTTCTTCCATATTATTTTCTAGGGTTTTGCTTTCAAGATTCAAGATTTCATAATTAACAATGTGTGCAAAATAATACGAACTCAACTACTTGTTATTAGTGGTACTACACTGTATGTGCAAAATAATACGCCGGTCACCAAAAATGTATTTCGAGGAATATTTCGTCTATATTTATTATAATACTTTTATTAATGAATTTTCTGTCTTCTTTTCAAAATACATTTTATATTATCATGTAACAATTTCATTTATAATCCAAATTAATAATACCCCACCCCTTTGTTAGGCTTTTTTTTCTTTCTCAAAATACCTATGGTAATTTCATTATCAGGCAATAGTAAATAAGGTATTTAAATGCATTATTATGTTAATTATATTAGTTCAAAAATCCAAAAATTTCACAGACTGACCAATCAAAATAGTGTGGGATAATTTTGGATATTAAATAATTTTTTAAACTAATTATATCAAAATAATAATGCATTTAATTACCATATTTACTATTATGTGGTAGTAGAATTACTACATGTTTTTTGATAAATATATATATATATATATATATATATATATATATATATATATATATCTAAAACAAAAAACAAAACAAAACCTATCTCTGTGTTATAATAAGTGATAACACGATATTATACACGATTTATATGTGATATTTGGTCATGTTTTATTGTGTTTTCTTCATTCTCCTAATCTTTTTGAGCTATTATTCTTCCTATTTCGATACTACTCTTCTCGGTTCGTTTGTTTTTATTTTTATAGGAATAGGGCTCGATTTGCATGGAATTCATTTTGATCACGAGATATTTCTTTATATGGAGCGTTTCTAGCACCAATGGAGCATCAATGGAGTATTTTGGCAGCCTACTCCACAGCTTGGTTGTGGCGTGCAACCTTATGGGCACAACCTGGTTGTGGGCGTCCATTATTATTGGAGCAAAGGAGAGGCGAAGACAGCCCGCTCCACAGCCTGGTTGTGGGCGTCCATTATTATTGGAGCAAAGGAGAGGCGAAGACAGCCCGCTCCACAGCCTGGTTGTGGCAGTATTCTTCGTGCCACAACCTACCTGTGGAAGCTTGTTTCGGTGGCGTTTGAGAGTCTTATTTAGATAAAAAAATATCTAGTTTTATGCAAGGATATAAATAGATTTTAGATAATCTTTTATGGAGGTTTTTTCATCACTTTTTCAGATATTATTTTTAGACTTCTTTTTAGGTATTACGTTCTTCCATATTATTTTCTAGGGTTTTGCTTTCAAGATTCAAAATTTCATAATTAATTCCAAGTATTGATTTCTTCTATCAATTCTCTTATTTTATTATTGTTAATTATGTTTTCTTTATTGGTTATAGTTCTTGATTTCATTAATATGTGTGAGTAGTTTCCCTATTCCAAGATCTAGCGGAACCCGAATATGATTAATGCTTGATTTAATTCTTTAAATTCTCTAATGATGATTGCAATTGATATGCTTAATTGATTGTGCTCATGTCAATACTAGATTAGGGATAATTGGTATTGTTATTAATCCATTGTTTTAATCGCAACGGGAGTTGGGTTTTGACGGGTTTGAATAAATCAATTAAGGGTTTGAAGTTCATCACGGGAGTAGTTGAATGGATGATTAGGAAGTTAGAGTAATGTGCTTAAGGTCTTTAATTTACATGATTCCACGGAAGTAGGCTTGATTGTGATTAGAGAAGCCATTGATAACTCGGGAGAGACCATTGTTATTATTTATGGATTACTTTTCCTCTTTAATCAATTGAATTATGTGTTAGGGGTAGAACGACTATTGCATTAATTGTATTCGTGGTGATGCTTGATCTTGGATGTTTTTAGCATTGATTTGTCATATTGTTTAGATTTAATCATTTTAATTAGTTCTTTAGATATTGATTCTCACTTATTTGATTTGGTTACTTGCTTAGTAATTGCTTGAGTCTATTTAATTAGTTGAACCATAGTCTCTTGGGATCCGACCCTTGCTTGCCCGTCTACATAGTAGTGGTCTAGTTAGGTTTATTTTTGTTAGGTACGCGACACACCTATCAATAAGTGTTACAGTCTGACTTTTGAAAAGAAAACCTAAGGGATTTAGATTGCAGTGTAAAGGAAATTGACAATTTTTTTTTATAAAAAAAAACTCTAATACCCCCGTTGTGTTTTAATAAGTGTTACAGTTTGACTTTTGAAAAAAAAAAAAACTTAAGGGATTTGGATTGTACTGTAAAGAAAATTGTTAACCTAATATGTATTTAGAAAAGAAAACAAAAAATTAATAACAAAATAATAATAATAAATATAGACGAAATATTTTTCGAGATTCTTTTTCGATGGTCAGCTTACTATTTTGCACATATAACACAAAATGTGGTATTAATAATAGCAAATAGTTGAGTTCGTATTATTTTGCGCTTACCGTTGATAGTTAGTATTATTTTAAACCAATTTTCCAAAAATTTAAGCAAATTATACAATTTAGAGCGCTCGTTAACCGGGAGTAATTATATTTGGAAGCCGGATAGTTTTTCATAACTCCATAACAGTGTAAAAAAAATAAAATAATAATGAGTATAACATAATATAATAGTTGTCTTCAAAAAAATATACTCTGTAAATATAATTTAATAATTTAAGGAGGTTTTAAAAAAGTAAAAATAAAAATAAGAATATGTTATCTGCAATTGACTTAGCCGATTTTTTTTTACCACAACTTGACATCTGTACAATTTAAAAAGGGATGATGTTAGCGGTTATTACTTTAGTAATATTTACTCCGTATAAATTAGTTATTCCTCCGTATATATACTTTGTACTGAGTAGCGAATTTTATGCTACCTCCGCTTCATATTATTTGCAACGATTTAACATAAAGTAGTCTAACCATTGCAAATAATATGAAACCGAGGTAGAAATTAAAGATTTACAGTAAAATTTGACCACATAAATCAGAACACGTAAGTTACTCGTTTAACTCGTTTGTTTTGTATGGCGTATCTGCTGCTCCTTGGCTCTGATCTTTCCATCTCATACTTACAGTCTTACAGTACGGTACTTTACTGTTGAGTTTTCACCATTCATTGAACAGTTGAGCACTGGACCTATATGGTTTCAAGAATCTTGAATGCCACCACTAGAGCGGTAGAGCCAAAGATAGAGGACTAGTTTAATAAATTACTCTGTCTTGTTAGACGTGTGGCTTGGACAGTCCATTTTCATTGATTAAGACAGTAATTATTTGTAGAATTAGTGTTAATGTTTTATTAGTCAAATATGACGGATTGTCAATACTGTAATGATTTGCTTTTATTTAGTACGGAGTAGTAATCATCTTTCCGAAAAATAAAATAAAATAATAATGTGATCATTGTTTGTCACCTAACGTAATGATTATTACAAAACAAAGGGATTACTATCTAACAACTACTCCGTAAATTACAAATTAATGGACAAAAAAGTTCATGTGAATAGCTGTTAGATTAAAAAAAAAATATATATGATCTAGTCTGATTTTTGACAAAATTACCTTTAATAAATACCCACGATGGACTTGTTTAGTTCACCTTATTTTTGCTTATCTGAACTTATATGATCTAGTCTGATTTGATTTGATCTTATTTTACAAGGTCTGATCTGATCTAGACTGATATGATTTTATTGTCTGATTTGACTAAAATTTGACCTTAAGTGTACGATTATCTGTAAGATAAAAAATATATCAAATATAATCTTGTTAGATTTGTAATAATATGTATTTTATTAATATGTTATTTTTATAATTTTTTTTTTCATTACGAAATTAAAGATATTTAGCGATAAAAAATTGCATATTAAACGATGATTTGATCTGAAATTATTTTTTCTGACCTGAATTATTATATTTTTTTGAATTTATTTTTTCAAAAATAAGAAAATTTAAGTGACTAAACAAGACATATGTGATAAAACCTTTTCTTTAAGATCACATTTTGGATTGGACCAACCAAGTGGTCCAAGCCCATACCAATTGCTGCCCAACAGACAATCCATATCGTACACTTGTACCCTCTGCCTGATTTTCCTATCCTATCCAGCCTAGTTACCCAAGTGCCCAACCCAACAAATCGAAAATAACCTCCTAAATCATCTAATCCATCTCAAAACATCGAATCCAATACTATTATAGCTTACGATAAACATTTCATCAACACATAAACCCAAAAATCCGACAATCGGTAATAATCCATAATCATCGAGTCTAGATCTAGCTACTTATTTTGTTTTGGTTCCCCTGATTTGGTAAAACTTATTCTTGCACCTCCTAATATTTGTTCAAATCGCACGAAAAAAAGCTACCCAATTGAAAGAGAAGAACGAGAGGAAAAAAAAAAAAAAACACGAGAGAGAGCGTGGAGGTCCACTTCGTCGCATTCCCCTTTCATTTCGGTTGCACCTTATAATTTCTTCTTCTTTCTCTCGCGCTCATTTTCTCTCTTCTTTTTTCTCTCTCCTATTTTCCGATCGATTCATCGTCTTCTTTGATTTTCCGATCAAATTCATCATCGGATTCACATTGCCGGATCATTTGCAACGGTAACAGTTACAAGCAATTTTATTGATTATTTATTTTGATGCATTTCATTTTTCGATTTGTTAGGTTTTGATGATTGTGATTTTTTTTATTTTTGTTTTTTTTTGTATTGGATTTGGTCCACATTTTGATGATGTATATCTAATTTAAGTAATTTACGAGTTTGACTTCGAATTGAGAAGTTTTGTAGCTTCGATTTGACAAATTAGGCAACGAATTTGGATTTTTCATGGAACTTTAGTTGTTGTTATTTCAATTGCATTGAAATGTAGTATTGTTTCGTGATTCTTATCCTGTTTATCTCAAATCAAGTAATTCAAAAGTGCAAGTTGAAGTCCAGCTTACCGGAAGTAAATTGATAACATGATCTTTTGGTTTTCAGGTGTGCAATTTCGATTAATTATTATGAGTGATTGTTAGGTTAAAAGTAGTGATATAATGGAGGAAGAGGAACTCAAACATATAGATATTTCTGAGGAGGACTTAGATTTAGATGGAAATGGAGGTGGTTTAATTGGAGGTGAAGAAGCACAGTCATCGCCATCTCTACTTAACTATGATAGTGTGTTCCGTCAGGATCACGTGAGTCATACATCTGATAGCTTTATGGCATTGAGTGTTGAAGAGGAGGGGTTTGAGCAAGTAGCTTTAAACGATCAAGAGGATAGTGACGGTGGACTTTGTGATCGTGAGGATTCAGGTGTGTCACTGGCTTCTGACAATGTGGTAAGTACACCTGGTGGGGTGGAGAAAGCCGAGGAAGTATTAGATGGAAGTTTTGTAGATAATGTAGAGTTGAGACAAGAACTTGATAGTTCAAGTGTTGGTCATATGAGAAGTTCCTCTTCTACTAAAAATGATGTAGATACTGAATCTGAAAACTCACCTATTGTGTCGCAGCCAAAATTAAGGCCGAAAGGTTCCATGTCCACTGTGTCACCTGAGCTATTGCATCTGATTGATTCTGCCATCATGGGAAAGCCAGAAAGCTTGGATAAACTTAAGAATATTGTCACTGGTGTTGAGGCTTTTAGTGATGAGGATAGTGATGCAATGTCTTTGCTGGTGATTGATTCACTTCTAGCTACGATGGGCGGTGTTGAAAGTTTTGAAGATGATGAAGGTAATAACCCCCCTAGTGTTATGTTGAACTCTAGGGCTGCCATTGTTGCAGGCGAGTTGATACCTTGGCTTCCTTGTGCTGGTGATAGTATGGGTGTAATGTCCCCTCGAACGCGGATGGTTAGAGGATTGTTGGCTATACTACGGTCATGCACAAGAAACAGAGCAATGTGCTCGACAGCTGGTTTACTTGGTGTTCTTCTAAGATCCGCTGAGAGAATTTTTGTGTCAAAGGGTCAGTCTATGGAGCAGGTTGAGTGGGATGGTATGCCTCTATGCTATTGTATTCAGTATTTGGCTGGTCATTCTTTAAGTGTGGTTGATTTGCATAAGTGGCTTGAGGTTATCACAAGGGCTCTTACTACTGTATGGGCTCCTCATTTAATGCTTTCCCTGGAAAAGGCAATCGGAGGAAAGGAATCAAGAGGTCCTGCTAGCATGTTTGAATTTGATGGTGAGAGCTCTGGTTTGCTTGGTCCTGGTGAAAGTCGTTGGCCATTCACCAATGGGTATGCATTTGCAACATGGATTTATGTAGAGTCATTTGCAGACACAGTAAATACTGCAACTGCAGCTGCTGCCATTGCTGCTGCTGCTGCTGCCACAGCTGGAAAATCATCGCCAATGTCTGCTGCGGCTGCTGCAAGTGCACTTGCTGGTGAAGGCACTGCACACATGCCAAGGCTTTTTAGTTTCTTATCTGCTGATAATCAGGGTTTGGAGGCATATTTTCATGCTCAGTTTTTGGTGGTTGAATTTGGTACTGGCAGGGGAAAAAAGGCTTCACTGCATTTTACTCATGCTTTTAAGCCGCAATGTTGGTATTTCATTGGTTTAGAGCATACTTGCAAACAGGGTTTACTTGGCAAGGCAGAGAGTGAGCTGAGATTGTACATTGATGGGTCTTTGTACGAAACTCGCCCTTTTGAGTATCCTCGTGTTTCTAAGCCACTTGCATTTTGTTGCATTGGGACAAATCCACCTCCTACAATGGCAGGGTTACAACGTCGTCGTCGTCAGTGCCCCCTTTTCGCTGAAATGGGACCTGTTTATATATTTAAGGAACCAATTGGACCTGATAGAATGGCTCGTCTGGCTACTAGGGGAGGTGATGTGCTACCCTCTTTTGGCAGTGGGGTTGGGCTACCTTGGCTGGCAATGAGTGACCATGTACAAAACCTGGCAGAAGAAAGTTCGCTACTGGATGCAGAGCTGGCTGGATTGCTACATCTTCTTTATCACCCGAGGTTGCTCAATGGACGATATTGTCCAGATGCTTCTCCAAGTGGTGCTGCAGGTCCTTAAACTTATTGTATATTAATTGTAATTAAATATTTAATTATCACTTCTTCAGAAGCACCTGAAATCATATTTCTTCTCAGAGTTTATATGTTTTGTAGCTTTTTCATGTTTTGAAGTTATACAATTAGTAGTTCATTTTTTGTCTAAGCATGAATTCTGTAGATCATTGTTGCTGTCCTGGTTATATAAAAGGCTGAAGACCTGAAGTAGTTGGCTTGCCACACTCCTCATTTAACAATCATAACTTTCAGCTCTAGGGAATTAGTGCATGGATTGTTCATATATGACCAGAACTTTAATTGGGTCTTCAGTAGTGAACCTAAAGCATAATTGTTAGACCACTATTGTAGGTGCTCTCTGTGTAGATCATTCTTTTTTCCTAAATAGTATCTCCTTTAGTTCTATTCTTTAGCTCAGCACCTTTAACCCAACATATCTGGCTTGCTTGATTTTATTCAAGTTATTGACATTAATTTCTCCTTAGTCCTCAGTAGTATTATCCTCACTGCAATTGGGTAATTGCAATAGATGTCTTGACAGTGTAGCATGTATTTTACAGGTGCACTTCGCAGACCAGCTGAAGTGCTTGGACAAGTACATGTTGCTTCGAGGATACAGCCAGTGGATGCATTATGGGCATTGGCGTATGGTGGTCCAATGTCGTTGCTTCCTCTAACAGTTTGCAGTGTAAATAATGATAGTTTGGAGCCTGAACCAGGGAACCTTACTTTATCTTTGGCCACTGCTGCTCTAGCTGCTCCAATATTTAGAATTATTGCCATGGCTATGCAACACCCTAAAAACAATGAAGAAATATGTCGTGCAAGAGGTCCTGAGGTTTTGTCTAGGATCTTGAATTATCTTCTGCAGTCATTGTCTTCATCTGACGGTAAACATCATGATGGCGTGGGAGATGAGGAACTTGTTGCTGCTGTTGTTTCTCTATGCCAAGCTCAGAAACATAACCATGCGCTCAAGGTGCAGCTTTTCAGTACGCTTTTACTGGATCTTAGGATTTGGAGCTTGTGCAACTATGGACTGCAGAAAAAACTATTGTCATCTTTGGCTGATATGGTTTTTACTGAATCGTCTGTAATGCGGGATGCCAATGCTATTCAAATGCTTCTTGATGCATGCAGAAGATGTTACTGGATGACTCGCGAAAAGGACTCAGTCAATACTTTTTCTCTAAATGAGGAAACGCGTCCTATTGGTGAAGTGAATGCTTTGATTGATGAACTTCTAGTAGTAATTGAACTTTTAATGGTAGCAGCACCACCTACACTAGCTTTAGAGGACATGCGTTGTTTGCTTTGTTTTCTAGTGGACTGTCCCCAGCCCAATCAGGTACTACTGTGATTCTAGCATTATATCTTAAGTTTTCGAATTTAATTTTTTTTGCGTAATGTGTTACTGGGTCAGGAGTTGATTGTTACACTAATCTTCCAGGTTGCTAGGATTTTGCACCTTATCTATAGGCTAGTGGTTCAACCAAAGGCATCACGTGCTCAGACCTTTGCTGATGCTTTTATATCATGTGGTGGGGTGGAAACACTGCTTGTTCTTCTGCAGCATGAAGCAAAGGCTGGTGATCAGGATATGTTTGAATATCCTATTGAAAACAATGAGAAGGGCTCGTCCGTACGTGGGTCTGAAGTGGCTCATGATGATGGAGTATCAGAAAGTAGTGATGGTAGAAATATTGAATCATTAGAAGAGAAGCAACTTGCATCTTTGGGTGAGCCGGGATCCGAGTCCCTTAGCAGTAAAAATGGGGTGGATGTTGAATTACAGAACACTACTGGGGAACTATCTACACGAAGGTCTGTGGAGAGAATGGCATCTGCTTCAGAAATTTTTTTTGCCAAAAATGTGGGTGGAATTAATCTATCAATCAGCGCTGATAATGCCAGGAATAATGCTTATAATTTTGACAAAATCGATGGTGTTGTTGTTGGAATCATCAAACTTCTAGGTACTTTGGTTGCATCAGGACATGTAAAATTTAATTCCAATACCCCATCGTCAGCTGTTACCGGCAGTTCTGGATTGCCTGATACAGGTGGCTCTATGTTTGATGATAAGGTTTCTCTTTTACTTTTTGCTCTGCAAAAGGCTTTCCAGGCAGCCCCAAGAAGACTTATGACTGCTAATGTGTACACAGCTTTACTGGCAGCCTCAGTATGACATTACTCTTTTTTTTTATTTTTATTTATTTATTTATTTATTTTTATATTATTATACTCTGTTTGTTCAGTGTGTGGATTTACTAAATGAAATTGTGCCGCTAGAGTAAAGAAAAAAGTGTTCTTTAGGTTACGATAATGTGTCTCTTTGTCAGTTCTGGGAATGTGCTTCCAGAAGATAAGTAGATAACTTGACAAGTCTTTCCATTATCCATGAAAAAAATGTTTCTTATGATACGATATTTCAAATTGGGTGATTTGAATTCTATAATTGTAATTCCAAGTTTCTTTGCTCATCTGCTTTACTGCTTGTATAGTTGTATTATGTTATTCTTCCAAAGAAGCCACATAGACAATTTGTAAATTCAGCTGCTGTTGATTCATACAAGTTTTCACATAAATTTTTGACATGGATTTTGTCATTTTTTTTTTCCAGATAAATGCTACTTCGACTGAAGATGGTTTGAACTTGTATGATTCTGGACATCAATTTGAACATTTACAGCTTTTGCTGGTTCTCTTAAGGTCACTTCCCTATGCATCTACATCATTGCAATGTCGAGTGCTCCAGGTACCGCTCTCCACTCTTTTGTAATATACTAATACTATATGTTTGTCTTGTTGAAGAATTGAATCCCATAAAAGTTTTAATAGTTATTTTCCATACAGGTTAACGTAAAACATTTTTGGGATTCTGGGTTTTGGACCTTGAAATTATTTATTATAGTTTTTGAATAGAAGAAAATGAGGTAGTGGCGATTGAAGGAAGATAAAAGGGAAGGAATACCCGTGGATACTTTTTTTTTGTGGAAGGATAGAATACCAAAGGATTTCAGGAGGAGGAGTTAGTGTAGATATTCCCAAATTTGTTTTGGCCCTTTGACCTTTTTTTTTAAAAAAAAATTTATTTTGCTTTTTAAAAAAAATGTATTTTAATTTGTTATAATAGTACTTAGTCTCACATGATTTTGCACTTTTGGGTTATCTTGAGAACTGTTTACTTGTAATTTTGTAAAATGTTCATAGTGACCTTTTTCAAACCATTTATGTTTTTTATTCACATGTTACCACTCATTTAAAACTTTTTAGAATTTTTATTCTTTTTACTCTTTTAAAATTCTGTTAAGTTTTACTATGCTCTTTCTTTTTCTCACTTTAGACACCTTTTTTTCGAAGTTTTTCAACTGGCTTTCTTGTTATTTCCTTTTTTCTTTGTCAGATCTCGGATGGTTCCTTATGACAATTCATGTTAGCCAACCCATTTGGGTCTTAAGCTTTGTTGTTGTTCATAGTGACCTTTTTTTTTTTAAAAAAAAATTTAAAAAGTAAATATTACTATTTATTTTTAAATACAATTAGGAGGGTAATTTCACCAAGTAGGAGTGATCAGTACTAATTGCATGTAGCATTAGGTTGGGTGTGAAAGGATCTACAGACTTGGGAGGCTTTTTGTTTCAAGTTTATGTATTAGTGTTGAGGTGCGCAATACTGCGCATCTAACATGTTCTTTGAATTATATAGTGGTCGTACCTAATTGTTATTTGTCTGTCTATTTACAACCAGCAATATCATAAATTTGCTTTTCAATTCATGGAGTGCAGTCTTAAGTCCTCTTAACATAATGCTGTCAGTAATTGTTAATAATAATAATAAAAAAATTACATGATGCTGTTAGTTTAATGCAGCTTTTTACACAAACTTTTAAGGTTTCTAAATTGCCTTCTACATGATTTCAGGATCTTCTGTTTTTGGCTTGCAGTCATCCAGATAACCGGAGCTTTCTAACTCAAATGGAGGAATGGCCTGAGTGGCTTTTGGAGGTTCTCATATCAAACTATGAGGTAGTGTCTCTATTCATTCTGAAAATGTCTCTAATTTGAAAATAAATTGCACGGAGGTGAAAATTGGTGTAAATGGAAATGGGAAATGGCCAATATGAAAAACTTACAGACATGTGTAGCAACAAAGCTGCAAGCAGTAATTTGAAAAATCAGGAATCAGTTTTCTATATTCCCAATGAAAAGAAAATCCTCTCTTTATTCCAATATGAAACCCTAAGCTAAATTTTATTAATAAGTAATAACATGTCACAATTTGCAATTTAGACATTTAGATAAAATCCACATCTATTGATTTCCTGTGATAGGGAGTAGAAGAGAAAGTTCCAGTGATTCATTTTAGAGCAAAGGCTTTGACAATGGGAGCAGCCAAGTGGTGGCTCTCCTGCTTCCCAGGCTTTAGAGGTTAGAGCTGGAAGTTAATCCTTGGGGAAGTAGTTGGGGGGCGTGTGATGGATATTTGAGTGAATTGGAGATCCAGGAGTTGTACCAACTTATTTAGATTTTTATGGATAATGAAAGCGTAATTGCTTGTGACATAAGACACAACTAAGATTATTGAGCGAGATTACGTCAGTCTAAGAGAGAAGATGCTTTAGAGAAGATTGGTGATGTAGAGAGTCTAGAGACTCTGAAGGGAGTTGGGAGAGAGAAAGGAGACATCACTTGTGATGGCTGCTTGTGTTATCAGCTGGAAAGGCTGATGGTCCAATTCTGTCAAGCTGTGGATATATTGTGAGTCTCTACCCATATATAGTCCTGCTAAGGTGGTTGATTTGGCTCAGGGAGAAAGGTTGGTGGAGAGGTGATTGTAAGAACTAAGATGCACTGAAATATAATGAGCCATCTTTTGTCACATTTTTAATTTTTTAAGGAATTTTTTGAAAATAATACCACAAATTTTACAAAAAATGGATTATAACACCACAATTTTTCAAATTTTTATTATAACACCACAAAAAATAAAAAAAATTGATTTCATTCACCACCAGCTAACGGATTTTTGGATGTAATCCGTTAAAGGGACCCACAATGGACACGTGTCAATAAGACATTGATTTAAAAAAAAATGATTTTTTTTTTAAAAAACCCTAACCTAAACCCAGCCAACCCCACCACTAGCACCACCTTCTCCAGCCGCGCCAACGCCTAACCCAAGTCGACGACGTCACCTGCCCCCCGAAACCCGGCGAAATTCTCCCTTCCCTTCTTCCCCCTCCTCGAAAACCACCCCAACCCTGCTTAACCGCCACAAATCACCGCATACCCACCGCAATTTACTACCTACCACAGCAAACATCAACCCCGAAAACCACCCTCCCTTAGCTTTCACCCTCAAAACGGCCAAAATTGACCATGACAGCCCTCGATTGGTCGATTTCGGCCGCCGATTTCGCAAAACTAGGGGAAATGGGTGTGGATTTTGCGGCGGTTAGGGATGGTTTTTGCGTTGGTTTGGAGGGCTTAAGGTGGTTTTCGGGGAGGGAGAGGGGGTGAATTGGTGGATCGGCGGTCAAAGGGGTTGGTTTCGTCGGATTTTTTTGGGGCAATGGATGCCGGCAACAGTTGGCGGATGAGGCAGGTGGTGCAGAGGTGGTGGGATGGCTAGGTTAGGTTTTTTTTTCCTTTTTTTATTTAATATTTATTTAAACCACTAGACACTTGACACGTGTCTTGTACGGGCCCCACTAACGGATTTTATCCAAGAATCCGTGACATGGTGGTGAAATCCAATTTTTGGATTTTTTTGTGGTGTTATGATTAAAGTTTGAGAATTTGTGGTATATATATATATATATATATATATATTTTATTAAGTCAGCTTTGGGTTATAGTGGGCATGACACTCTTGTAACGAAGTTTGTTTTCCTTAAGATGTTTTCAGACATTCCCTTAATGGTCTTTTGATGATACTTGCTACTCCTTCTCGTATTATCCTGTCCTGCCCGTGCATACCGGGGATGTTTTATGAACAGGAAATGCCACCCTCTTTTCCATTTTGTGCTTCATAGCTATGAAAAAGCATTACGAAATTTGACATATTCTTACGGTTACCGTTAGAAACGGGAGATATTTAGCCCACGTGCTTTGTGTATGTGTATGAACTACTTGCGTACTGATGTCATTGTTCTGTTGTTTGATCAGAGAGCTTCAGCGAAAAGCTTGAATTCTTCAAGTTTGGGAGATGTAGAAGATCTTATACACAGTTTCATGATCATCATGTTAGAACATTCAATGCGGCAAAAGGATGGATGGAAGGTGGGCTTACTTGGTTCAGTACTTATCTACCTTTATTGCAGGAATATAATATATAAACTTTTTACAAATGTCTTAAGGGATTGTCTACAGCATACCTTCCAAAAGATGTTTAGTTAAATATGTTGATTTGTCTAATTGTGATATGTTTCACTTCAGTGTGCCTCTTATTTATTATTCAAATACAGGAAAAAAGATAGCTTTTGTTTCTATTTCTTTTCTTCTTTGTGCTCGAGTGAGATCTCTGGGTATCAGTCTGTTTCATAACTTTGTTGATCAATAGAGTTAAGTTATAACTTAATATTTTAACCACTTTATTAATGACTTGGTCAACAAGTGATCTTATACCTGGTTGTTTTGAGTGCAATAGTATCATTTATGGCCTTGCTGTTATTTCTTTTGCACAGGATATTGAAGCGACAATTCATTGTGCAGAGTGGCTCTCTATGGTAGGTGGATCTAGCTCTGGAGATCAACGTATAAGGTACTCCCTTAACATTAAATCTGATTCAAGTTTGATGGCTTAAATATGAGATAGAGCATTTTGGATAGCTTGTTTTTTGACCTGTCTGTAACGGTTATACTAGTTTGGTAAAAAGTCTTTTAGTCCTAGTTTTTTTTGGCTGCCTTTGTGGGTTTGAACTGCGAAGATTAGTCAATCACATATCATGGTTTTTTTTGAACCAGAATAACCAGTAAGGAAATTTAATTTTTCTACTTTGGGTATGGCCCTGACAGGCAACACCTTTTCTGGCATCTTTTCGATTCTTTATTTTTTTGGATAAGCATTAAAGGTATAAGAAAGACATCATGGGTTATTGGACAAAATGCTAATGCTTGGGGGCTTTCGTCTTATTGTCTAGCCACTTATCATAAAAATGAAAAAAAATGTCTGGGATCCCTTCGAACCTATCACCTTGACTCCAACTATACAATAGCCGCTAGTTTACTGGTTTCTTTCTTTTCTTTTTTTTTTTCAAGCACACTACTAAACTGCCAACAGAACTATTCTTTTCACTTTAGCCGACCAACTTTTATTTGTTTTTTTTTACTAAGTCACAATGACGTCATTTGCAGAATAGGCTTCCTTCTGCTCATCCCAACTAAGGCTTATGGTAAGTGCCAAAGCAAACAAACATAAGAATGGAAGAGCAAAAGCTGAAAAAAACTCTTCTTCCGTATGACATATACTTTGGTTTGCTAGGCACATTGCATCTTAGGTCATTGTTAAGGCAAATCTTAATATTCTTATCATTGATGTTTTTCCATGCAAAAACTGAGAAGGGTTTTTGAAAAATCTTTTGCCTTTTATAAATGTTTAGCAGAGAGATATTATGATCATAATTTACCATCAAATGCCTTGAAGTTGGAGGACATATCACCAGTTGAAGAGGAAAGGGAGAACTGTTGGTTCTGGCCTTCCGGGCATGATTTATGACTTTCTAAAGGAGGTAGGAGCAAAATTGAAGAAGAAAAGAGAGAGGGACTTCCCAAGGGAGAAGGATGAGCAAGCATAGATCAGCAGAAAGGTCTGGATGGAGCAGAGAACATCAGCCTTGCCATGGGGAGAGAGAAGGGTGAGGAGGAAAGAGATGATAAGATGATAGACTTTGAATTTATTTAGAGCGAACACTAGCTTACATGTTTGAGTTTTTAGGGATCACTCGTTTGATAGAATTAAACCCAAATTTGATACAATTTACAAGTGGTTTACATTGATAACCTACCAATCACCCTCTTGAACAGCTTGAAAATCCTTAGTTCTTTTTTCACAGCTTAAAAAAAATTTCTCTGTGCTTGCAGCAAATGCAGCCTCTTCTCTGCTTGGGGTATTGGTACGGGCGAATAGCAACAATAGCTACATTAGCTTCAATAGCTGCAGTTAGAGGTGTCAATTCGGATGGTTGGATTGGGTCTGATGAGGTCGGATTGGGTCAATTTTAAGTTGAGTCATGCTAAATTATTATGTTTACGCGAGTCAAAATCTGAATTGGATATTTTACGGGTCGGTTTTGGATCGGATCGGGTGTGGTTTTGACACCTCTAGCTGCAGATTGCAGTTTAAACAAAAAAGAGTGAGATTCATTATAGAAGATAAGCTTTTCTAATTTTCAATGTTTTGGATATCACTTAAATAAAGACTCCAAGGAGAGAGTTTTGGCTTTAGATTGGGTATATTGAATTCCAAATCTAAAAACCAAATGGAACCAAATTGTGTGATTTGTGTGTTATGTAAGGAGTATAGAATACGTAAAGTTCATATGGCATTATCAACTTTCAAGTAGTTTTCAACTTGTATAGCGGATTTACATTATACATTATTGTAATTTCTGGAGCATTAAATTTGGCTGGTCTGAGTCTTGCACCTTGGAAATGCTTTTCTTGTGGTTCTTTTGGCTCTATTTTTAGGAAGTACTGTTTATGTTTTCGGAACGGTGCTACTTTGTCTTGCTTGTGGGGTGGAGATATTTGTTTTGCTTCTTTGTCAGTGTATGCAGGCATGCAGCTAGGTAGGTCACAGGGATTTGTTCATATGATGCAGTGTGACTTTGAGCTCTGGGGGTTAATTTCATTTTTCTGTGCTCTTGGGTCAGTACTTATTACATAACTTTGAGTGCCTCAAAAACTGAAGGTTATGTTGTGCTGACAGATTGTAGAAATTTCTATATCTATAATTTTTTGTAAGAAATAATCAACTGACTGGATTAAAGGGAAGTGCATTTATTACTACATGTCTTGAAAAATTTGCAACAATTTAACCTCAATAGAGCTCATTGTTGGTTTTTATTGGCATGTTTTCAAGACGTGAGGAATCATTGCCTATATTCAAAAGAAGACTACTGGGTAGCTTGCTGGACTTCTCTGCTAGGGAACTTCAGGTTCAGGTACTACATGTTCTTCTGAAACGTAGGTTCTGTGTGCAGAGATTGTTTCATTGCTTTAGTTTCTTTTGTTTTGACATTTCTCGCAGTTTCACCCCTGTGGAATAAAGGATGTTAAACCTTAGTGGTGAACTTTTTCTTATCACCCCTGAATGCAGTCTAATGCTGATAAACCTAAAATTGGATTAACTCAATCTAACTCAAAGTTTGGGTAGGAAGCTGAATGACTAATAATTAATGGTCTCCCCGTCTCTCTTTCGTTCAAAACTGAAAAGTTGAAATTTGATTTAGCCTTTACATTATAATTTGACATCTGGTTCATTTAAAACACAAAAAAATACCTTTAAATGCTTTTAGTAGCTGCGGAGGATTCTTAATACAACTATAATGACTGTTCACTCTAAGATGCCTGGTTTATAGAATAATATAGTGAATCCTATGGAATTCTGATTTTGAAAGAGAAGTATAATTCAAAGCCTGCTGTTGGAATAAGTAGGAGCAGGATGTCTTTGCCCATAACTTGCATTATACGGAGTATAAGCTATAAGCCTATAGCAGTTATCGTTGCGATGGCCCTTGTGTACTTGTCCTTGCAGTAATGTGAAAGGGCCTGCTGTTATATGTTTCTGTCCAATGAAATGAGATCTTTTGTTGCCTGTGGGAGATATAAGGGGGCCTGGAGATCTCTTTTTGCCTACCATAATTGTAATATTTTTTTTTCCATTCTAAATAGGTGCAAACTTATGTTAAGCTTCTTACCTGTGTTGTTATTTCCTTCTGAGCAGACTCAAGTCATTGCTGCTGCGGCAGCCGGCATCGCTGCTGAATTTTCCACACCAAAAAATGCTAAGGTGGAAGCTGAGAATGCTGCTCAGCTTTCAGTGGCATTGGTAGAGAATGCCATTGTTATTTTGATGCTAGTTGAGGATCATTTACGTTTGCAGAGCAAAATATGGTGTGCTCGTCATAATGCTAGTGGCGCTGTGCCCCCCCTTTCATCAGCTAGTCAATCACATTCATCAACTGTGGCTGCTGGAGAACAGAAGGATGTTTTGGGTGACCGTAAATCATGGTCTGGTGACACTGGAGGACTACCCCTCGATGTATGTGCATCTGTTATTTTTGCTATAGTTGATTTACTGTGCATTTGTGCAAATAGTCTTATCTGACAATACCTCATAAGCCTTATAAGTTAACTGTTATCATATATTTCTGTTATTTGTGATGACACAATTTAATACCTTTGTGCATAACCTGTGTATTTATCATTCAGATCCTTACTTCAATGGCTGATGTAAATGGGCAAGTATCTGCGGCTGTTATGGAAAGACTAACTGCTGCAGCTGCAGCTGAACCTTATGAATCTGTCTCTTGTGCTTTTGTGTCTTATGGAAGTTGTGCAAAAGATTTGGCAGAGGGATGGATGTTCAGGAGCCGGCTTTGGTATGGTGTTGGTGTTCCTTCCAAGTCAACTGCATTTGGTGGTGGTGGCAGTGGTTGGGAGTCTTGGAACTCTGTTTTAGAAAAGGATGAAAATGGTTGCTGGATTGAGCTTGCTTTGATAAAAAAATCTGTTACGATGCTGCAAGCTCTGTTGCTAGATGAATCGGGACTTGGTGGTGGTCTTGGCATCGGCGGAGGATCTGGTACAGGAATGGGAGGAATGGCAGCTCTTTACCAGTTGCTGGATAGCGATCAACCATTCCTATGCATGCTTCGGATGGTGCTTGTTTCCATGAGGGAAGAAGACACTGGTGATGAAAGTATGCTTATGAGAAATTTGAATTTTGAAGATGCATCATCAGACATGATACATAGACACGCTGGGAACATGACCATGGATTATAACTCTAGATTGTCTACTAGAAAACCTAGATCTGCATTGTTATGGAGGTATATGGATAGCTTTATTCCGATTACTTTTTGCCTTATTTTTTTCCACTTCCAATACTGTAGTATCCTGCTGGTGTATTGTTTTTACAGATGGCATGTTGTTAGTTATCCTAGTTTCTGTCTTGCTTTGTTTTTCAACTATGATGCCAGACTATGTTAAAAAAATTTTTTATCTCTGCATCTTCTGATTTATATTATAGCGTTTTTACTACCCTACACACATCTTTAACAGATATAGTAAGGCCTACCATTAATCTTTTCTTTCATCCCCCCCCCAGCGGCCCTAGTTCCCCGGAAATAGTGGAGAAAAGCAGTATAGTTTTGGATATATATGTTGGTGCCCTTCTACTCTATGCCATAATAACATGTAGAGAAATCGACTTATTTCAGGCTCTAGTTTCTGTTGCCTTTTTGCTGTTTCTTTGACAAGTTCTTGATTCATTGCATTAAGTTTTTCCCTAATTGCCACTTTGCCTTTTGCTCTCCCCTCCCCCCCTCCCCCCCCCCCCACACCTTCTATTCATGGGCCAAATGCATAACAATTTTCTTGAAAATGGTGTGCAGTGTGCTTTCACCTGTTCTAAATATGCCCATATCTGAGTCCAAAAGGCAGAGGGTATTGGTTGCATCCTGCGTCCTGTATTCTGAGGTTAGTTTATTGAGATTCAACTTACATTCTGAAAATATCTTAATTGTCATTTTCTGAAATTGCTATTTAGTCCTGACGTCCTGTTATATCCCTAACAGATTCCTTTCAAGTTGTTTGTTGTCCGTACCTTTTTAATTATTTGATTTTGGATGTCTGGTTCAGATGTGGCATGCCGTTGGAAAGGATAGAAATCCTCTGCGCAAACAATACCTGGAGGCTATAATACCTCCATTTGTTGCAATTCTGCGGCGGTGGCGGCCATTATTAGCTGGAATCCATGAACTTGCGACTGCAGATGGTCTCAATCCTCTTGTTGCTGATGACCGAGCATTGGCTGCAGATGCTCTTCCTATAGATGTAAGTTTTATACAATTATATTATTTCTGTTTCTCTTTTCCACTGTCCTATGGTTTTTGTCATTTTTGCTGCTGCTGCTCTAAAGGCTAAAGCTGAAGGTTGTTTCACGTATGGGTTTTTCAATATATTCTTGAAAATCTCTCTATGCACTTGTTAGTTGAGTAAGTTTTCTAGAAAGTGCTTTGTGCAAACTGCTATATACATGCCTGTCAATCCCTGTCATCACACTGTGGATTATCCCATTTCAGCGTATGGTTAATGGCAATAATGCTTTTGGCTTCCCTGCTTCTGACATGGATAAAAACTGTTTTCTTATTTTATTATATTTTTAAATTTTTTATATGAATAGGATTAAGATTTAGTTCTTGCTACCTGTAAAATATCGTTGAATAGTTGCAAGTCGTAACAGACTAAGAGTCCATTCTTTTAATATGTTTAATATTTTATTAGCTGGGGAGAAGGTCAAGGCTGGATGCCATCTGCATTTGTTAATTTTTTTAGGATACTTGTGACCCGTTGGTGGTCCTGTCGCATATTTTAAAACCTATTGTGCATGTATCTTTCACATATATTAAAGTCTTTATATGTTTGATGCCCATTTCTTAAGTCTATGTATTTGTCAGTTCGAACTTTTTTTAACAAGATCACACAACACTATACATTCATATATGCCCAATTGTGTACATTTGATGTTTACTGCACACATAATAAAAAATTGTTGGTGTGGTTTCAGGGAGCTCTTGCCATGGTATCTCCAGCCTGGGCTGCTGCATTTGCATCTCCACCTGCTGCAATGGCATTGGCTATGATTGCAGCTGGTGCTTCTGGAGGGGATGTTCCTACACGTGCATCAACAACACAGCTTAAGCGTGATGTGTCGTTGCTTGAGCGAAAAGCAGCTAAGCTACAAACATTTTCAAGTTTTCAGAGGCCACCAGAAACTCCGAGTAGATCTCCAGCTGCTCTTAAGGATAAAGCAGCTGCAAAGGCTGCTGCCTTAGCTGCGGCCCGTGACCTGGAGCGTAATGCAAAAATTGGTTCAGGCAGGGGCCTAAGTGCTGTTGCGATGGCTACTTCTGGTCAGCGAAGAAATGCAAGTGACATGGGACGTGTTAAGAGATGGACTCTTTCAGAGGCCATGGGAACAGCTTGGAGGGAGTGCTTGCAGCCAGTTGATACTAAATCAGTTTATGGCAAAGACTTTAACGCTTTTTCCTACAAATATATTGCAGTACTTGTTGCAAGTCTTGCTTTGGCTAGAAACATCCAGCGATCTGAGGTCTGTGCTGACTCTCATCTTGGACGCTTTCAGTCATTATACCAATAAATCATTATATATTCGAGTCCTTGTTGCAGCCATAATGCAAATTTTTGTATCGCAGATTGACAGAAGGTCTCAAGTAGATATGTTGGCGCGCCACCGTCAAGCTACTGGAAGTCGTGCTTGGAGGAAACTCATTTATTATTTGACAGAGATGAAGTGTCTCTTTGGGCCATTTGGTGACCATCTATGCAATCCTGAATGTGTATGTAATTAATTGCTTCCACCAGGCTATGTAAAATTTTAACAATGGACCGAACACATTACTTGTTTTTACTGGTTGTCTTAGGCAATAGAGTACTAAAATTTAGTCTTAATATCTTGCAGGTTTTCTGGAAGCTAGACCTCATGGAAAGCTCCTCAAGGATGAGGATGTGTTTAAGGAGAAATTACAGAGGCTCATCACATGTTGGTGCTGCAGCTGATTATGAAGATAACGATGCTTCTAAACAAGATCAACCGAGGGACATAAGTGCAACAAATGCTTCTGCCTTGGCAGCTGAAGCAATTTCCGCTGATGCATTAAATGAAGATGGTGAGCATGCTGATGTCAATAATAGGATGAGTATTGACTTTGATGGGGAGCAGCATGAGGAAAATCATTCAAGGCAGTCCGTTGGACAGGAATCACGAATGCAAGTGTCATCAGATGCTAATGATGCTCCAACTACCAGTGGCCAAGGCATGACAGAGGATACATCAGCAGTTGCTCCTGGGTATCTTCCTAGTGAGCTTGATGAGAGAATTATGCTTGAACTTCCTTGCTCGATGGTGAGGCCGCTGAGGGTTGTACGAGGAACCTTTCAAGTAAGTCTTGTGTGACCTATGCTGGTTGCAATTCATTACTATATTTTTTTTCTAGTTGCCTTCATGCAGTTGTACCTCTGTCAGATGTTGAAGGAAATTTCCTCAAGTGTCATTTAGAGGGAACCTTTCAATATCTTCAAAATGTTGAAGAAAATGTCCATATATAAAGTAGAAAGTATTTCAAAATTCATTTCTGTTTAGATGCTAACATTGATAAGTGTCTAATTGGACAAGACAAGATCATAAAAGGATAGATAGGACTCTGTAGTAGTGCACTAGTGCCTGCAATTTCGCTCTCTACTATTATTTACGAGTTCCAAAACCTTTAAATTGTTCCCTACAACATAGGCATTTTTGTTCCACTTGAATGCAGAAAGTTTTCACTCAAGAAATATCTTTCCTATGTGTTCTGCAGCATCATATTCTTAGGGAAACTGTAAGTTAATTGAAGGAATTTTAGGCTTTAGAAGGATTTTTATGCTCTGTTTAAAAAAACTATTGGGAATTGTTGTTCCCTGATTGAGGACAAGCTCTACTATCTAGTTCACCCATATATTAACCGCGCATCTAATTCAGCCTCATGAAGCCCTGTTTGAAGTAGAATGTATGTAGAATATGAAGATTGCAGTATATTCATGGTCATTAAACTGTAGATAAGAACATTCATAAAAGTTTTTTCAAACAGCATAAGCACTAGGAAATATAAGAGAAATGCTTATTTTTCTTTCAAATGACAATAGACTGTTTCTTTTAATGACAATAGACTGTTTCTTTCAAATGACACTTTACTATTTTGGTGCGTTATATCTGGTGAACAGTGTTTTAGATGAAAGCTTGAACCATAATGAGAACTTTCTAATTTCTTTTAAGGAGATGAAGGTGAAAAATTCACTAATATGATTCCAACATAATTGTTTGTAAAAGACTGTCTGACTGATTGTGTTCATTAAACAAGATACAAATGCTTCAGTTATTTTGATCTGTGTTGCTGCTTTAATAAAGAGTTATTTTATCAGAAATATTTATATAATTATATGCTAGGTAGTGCTTGATAAGACTGTATCAATAATATATACTTTCTCCGTTTCTATTTAGTTGACGCGTTTGATTTAGGCACATATATTAAGGAGAGGAGAGAGAGTGAGAGAGAATGAAAAAGTAAGTGGGGTACCTTGTAAATGCAAGGTAAAAAATTTACCCTAAAAGGAAACGTGTCAACTAAAAAAATTCCTAAAATGGAATACGTGTCAACTAAAAATAAACGGAGGTAATATGTTTTTTTAAAAACTTATCGCTTTTGGATAAATGTTGTGCTTCAAAGTAATAATTACATTCCGTGTACTTTTAAATTTTAACTATCTTCTAGTTTATTGTAAAGACTGAAGTCACAATACATCTGCTAGTTCAGCATGTGTTTTCAGTTTTGTAATCTGTCTTACAAAATAATTGTTGATTTCAGATAACTACAAAAAGAATTAACTTTATAGCCGATAATAGCGAGACCAGTTCGTCAGGGATTGAACTGGATCATAGTTCAGAAAATAGAGATCAAGAAAAGAATCGTTGCTGGTTAATATCTTCCCTTCATCAAATCTATAGCAGAAGGTTAGTTTGTGAGAGATGATCATAGCCATTTTAGTTTGTCATATATTTAAGTTAGGATCTTTTTTTATTTCTTGTTTTTTTTTCGGTGAAAATTTATTGAAGATATTTTTTTCCCCTGTCAAGTACTTCCTCCGTTTCCCTATAGATGCAACGTTTTGACTTTTTGTCTTTTTGACATCCCACTTACTATTAACTTTTGTTTATAATTTTATATTAATTAATTATGCATTGAAATCCCACAATATTTTTTATTATACATAAAAATATTTAATTTTTATATATATGTATAAAGTTTAGTCAAAGTTGATAGATAAATAGTGCATAAAGTCAAAATGGTGCATCTATTGTAAAATGGAGGTAGTATATGTTTTGCAATTCTTTTTGTCCATTTTGATATACCTTCAATTTTCATCGAGTTTAAATAAAATTTCAATTTTGAAATGTTTGAATTTGTATTTGCAGATATCTTCTGAGAAGAAGTGCACTGGAGCTTTTTATGCTTGATCGCTTTAACTACTTTTTTGATTTTGGGGTATTTGGTCTTGGCATCTGCAATTTATTTCCCTTCTTTAATTGCTTTATATTATGAAACCTTTGTTTGTTCATTAATTTTTGGCAAATTTTTGTTAATCTGTCAAATTTATATTGGTTTTGTAGACTAGTGAAGGTAGAAGAGCTGCGTATCGAGCTATTGTGAATGCACGCCCTCCTCATTTGAACAACATATATCTAGCGACTCAGGTTTCTACTAATGCTTTTTTGATTGACATCTTTTGTTGGAGGATATTAGTGACTTGGACCCTTTAAATTTTGTTTATGACTGTAGTAGTTTTTCTGCTGTTGCTGTTTTGTTTCCGCTTCATAGCCCTTTTGTCTGTTTTTAATATCCTGTAGAGACCCGATCAGCTTTTGAAAAGAACTCAACTGATGGAGCGTTGGGCTAGATGGGAGGTAAAGGCATCATCCTTGGTTTTGTTGAGCTCTTTAAGCAAAGTTTACTTTGTCTCTCAGTAAAATGATCTAAAAGAATGGTATGCTTATTTTCAGATCAGTAACTTTGAATACCTAATGCAACTCAACACACTGGCTGGGCGTAGTTATAATGATATTACTCAGGTTTTCATTCTGCTGCTACAATATTTGAATTTTTCTTACATATATGCTAATGACTCTTCATAGTTGTTGATGTCATTTCTTTTTCTACCTTGTTTGATGCAGTATCCAGTATTTCCTTGGATTTTGTCTGATTATACTTCACAGAATCTGGATCTTTCTAATCTTTCTTCTTATCGAGACCTTTCAAAGGTGATTAACACAAGTTATTTTTTATATAATTGTTATTATTGATCAAAGCACCAGTTCTGATAACTTTTTGTCCCCTCTCACAGCCTGTTGGTGCTCTAAATCCTGAACGCCTACAAAAATTCCAGGAGCGGTATTCCAGTTTTGATGATCCTGTAATCCCAAAGTTCCATTATGGCTCACATTATTCAAGTGCTGGAACAGTACGTTTCTTTCTTTTCCATGACAATGTTTGTGAACCAAATATTTTGGCTTTGTTAGAAGGCATTTTTTTTTTTTAAAAAAAAAAAAAAAAAAAAACATATGAACAAGAGCTGGCCAGTTTGAAAAACTGAATGAGGTTGAAGGTTTTGGATCATATGGTTTTAAAATTTATTATTCAGTCTCTAGCATATAAATTGTTTCATTTCCATGAATTTGTTGATTTTATTAATTATAATGTGTATGCTAAAGTTAATTTCGAAATCTCTATCATAATGATGATCTTCCCTTCATAATTTTGTTATATTACGTTTTTTACTAGGTGCTGTATTATCTTGTTCGACTGGAGCCTTTCACCACTCTCTCTATTCAACTACAAGGTGGTAAATTTGACCATGCAGACAGGATGTTTGCTGATATTGCTGCTACTTGGGAGAGTGTTCTTGAAGAGATGAGTGATGTGAAGGAATTGGTAATTATGTTCAATTCAGTCCAGAAGTTCCTATACATAATATGTTTGGGTCTTGTTCTCTTAAAAAATAATAAAATAAAAAATATTTTTTTGGTTTAGATCAGTTCAGTTTAGCAAGCATCTGCTTTGACAGATAAATACAGCCCAGAAGGAAATTAAATTTAACCTGATTGAAATGAAATTTAGTTGATCAAAATTGAAATCAATTTCAATCAGGTAAAATCAACTTTTCTTCAATGGAATCTGCCTAGTTATCAGTCTAAAGGGCTGAGTTTTCCATCCTAGGGGATGTGCCTTTTAGGGCGAGTAAATTTTCAGATTTAAAAAAAAAAAACAAAAAAACACAGGGATAATCAATTATGATAATTGAAAACCAGTTTTGTTTGAATAATTTCAGTTCACCGTGTAAAGTAAAAAACAGTTGAAGAGAACATGGCCCAAGTTATGTAATTATTCAAAGTTTGGTTTCCCCCCCCCCCCCTTCTTTGACTAGTTCTTGTCTGGACATCTTAGGTTCCGGAGCTGTTTTACCTTCCTGAAACATTGATTAATGAGAATTCCATTGATTTTGGTACCACACAACTTGGTCAAAAGCTAGGTATGTCCCTAAGAGATTTTTTTGCGCATTGTTAAGTTTGTGAATTAGAGAGGACGAGTTAATATGTTACCTTATGCGCTCTTCCAGATTCAGTTAAGCTTCCTGCTTGGGCTAAAGATCCTGTTGATTTTATTCATAAGCATAGGATGGCTCTTGAGAGTGAGTATGTTTCTGCTCATCTACATGAGTGGATTGACCTCATATTTGGGTAAGTTCTATTTATTGCTTATTTTCTTCATTTAATCTTTCATTTGAGTAAAACATGCAAAGCCATATTCTTCTCAAAGACTTGGCTATATGTAAATATCAGTACATAATGATTAATTGATTGTTTAGGTATAAACAACGGGGGAGGGAGGCTATAACAGCCAACAATGTTTTCTTTTATATAACCTATGAAGGAACAGTTGATATTGACAAAATTGCCGACCCTGTAAGAGAATTTTCCATGTGATTTTTGTTTTCCAGTTTGGATACTGAATTGTCCAATTTAAACTGACATTTTCTTTTACCTGCAAAATTTTTGTTTGATTGTGAATTTAAGGTACATCAACGTGCCACACAGGATCAGATTGCTTATTTTGGGCAAACCCCATCTCAGCTTTTGACTGTTCCCCACATAAAAAGAATGTCGCTCTCAGAGGTGCTTCAGTTGCAGGTAGCCTGGTTACAATTTAAGCTAATTACTACTTTATCCTCTCAATCCGTTTATGGTGACTACATATAAAATCCAAGATCCACTGCTGCAGTCTCTTAGGATGGCTCAGCGTGAACACCTAAACTTTCCTCCTGAGCTTGCCTAATTCATGTGCAAGAATAGCAATTTTCTCCTTGCCCAGTGGCTCTTTTATTAATTTATATATTTATTTTTTACTAACACTATGCATGTGCAATGTCATCAATATATGAGTGTATCCTGTTGTTTTTCAATTGTTGCGCACTTTGATAATTAATACTATTTTAATATGAAATGTGGTAATCAGACAATTTTTCGGAATCCAAAAGAACTCAAACCATATGCTGTTCCAATGCCTGAACGCTGCAATTTACCTGCTTCTGCAATGCATGCTTCCTCGGATTCTGTTATCATTGTTGATATAAATGCTCCAGCTGCATTTGTGGCACAACACAAGTGGCAGCCAAATACACCTGATGGCCAGGGTGCACCTTTTCTTTTCCATCATGGGAAAGCCACTGCCAGCTCTTCTGGTGGAGGTTTGATGCGAATGTTTAAAGGGCAAGCTGGAGCTGTTTCTGAAGATTGGCATTTTCCTCAAGCATTGGCATTTCCTACTTCAGGAATCAGAAGCTCGGCTATAGTTGCTATAACCAGTGATAAAGAAATTATAACTGGTATGTGTTTTGCTGTTGTACTCTCTTATACGATCGTAGTGGATTTTTTAATTTTAATTATTTTTTAAAATTCACTTATGTGATGTCTCTTATACAAGAGTTTATTAAGTGAGGCTATTTGCTTACCCCTTTTGAATCTATCTCATCATCAGGTGGGCATGTTGATAACAGTATCAGAATAATATCAGCAGATGGGGCAAAGACCCTTGAGATGGCCATAGGGCACTGTGCTCCTGTGACATGCTTGGGTCTATCATCTGATAGCAATTACCTTGTGACTGGGTCTCGAGATACTACCGTATTGCTTTGGAGGATACATCGTACAGCTACATCTCATTCTTCCAGTATTTCAGAATCCTCCACTGCTTCTGGTACATCTTCAAACAGCAGTAATGTTTCGGCAAGTATCTTAATAGACAAAAGCAGGAAGCGGCGAATTGAAGGACCCATACATGTCTTGCGGGGTCACCTTTCTGAAGTTATATGCTGTTGTGTTAGCTCAGATCTTGGAGTTGTTGTTTCTTGCTCTGAATCACCAGATATTCTGCTGCATTCTATTCGAAGGGGCCGTTTGCTCAGAAGAATAGATGGTGGGAAGGCTCATTCTGTCTGCCTTTCATCTAATGGCATCATAATGGCTTGGAATCAATCTCTTCACATGCTCAGCACCTTCACTTTGAATGGTATTGTTGTTGCTAGAGTGAAGCTTCCCTTTTCTGGAAGCATAAGCTGCATGGAAATTTCTTTTGATGGACAGACTGCTTTGGTTGGGGTGAACTGCTCTCAGAAGGAAGGATCTCTTGACAGCAGCAGGTCTTGGAAGTCAAAGCAACTGGAAACTGAAGCCCTTTCCTCGGGATTGGATGAGAAACAGGAAGATTGTATGTTGGATATAGCATTACCTTCAATTTGCTTTCTCGATCTATATACCTTAAAGGTATGCACAAATTCTATTGTTCACATGCTTTCTTGCTTTCTCTTCCCATCCCCCCCCCCCCCCCCCGTCTTCTCCTCCCCCCTCTTTTCCCTTTTTATGATAATAATTATAAAGGATTACTGCAGATTGAAGTCAACTAATTTTTTATTTTTATGTTGAATTATAAATTCCAGACGAACGCTTTTCAGAAGTTTTTACCTACTAACAAGGCTGTAATGACAGGTTGTACATACATTGAATCTTAAAGCTGGGCAGGATATAACAGCCATAGCTTTGAACAAGGACAACACTAATCTTCTGGTCTCCACGATGGATAGGCAATTGATAATATTCACGGACCCAGCTGTAAGTTGAAATACACTTAGTTTTATTCTGCTTGTTCTAAGAATGAATTGTATCTTTTAATACCTACAAAAACAGATTACGGCTCTCATTTTCTCCTGCTGTTTGTGGGAGATTTTTACAGAGTAGAAAAGAACTACAGTAAAAGGGACTCTCTTGGGTTGACTTTTTCCATGAAGTTTGATAAGATAACCTGCCTGACTGCCTTGATATTTGGACTAGAGAATCTCTTTCCCTGTTAAATTTTACTTTCTTGAACAGTGCTCCCTAAAGTGGATCAGTGATTCATTGATCAGATGTAGAATTCCATACTTCAGTAATGCAGAGGCTGTCCTCTTTACAGCTGAAATGCACACGTGTGCAACATTAAAACATACACATTTCATGCTTCTTACATGTGGAATGTTTTCTATTGGAAAACATAACTATTGGTACCTTAAACAGGATTGTATTGTCTGTATGACTACATCCCAAAATTGATTATAATCTGGATCGACCAGTGTCGATTGACCAGCTTCTCCAACGGTTTATAGCAGGATGTCATTAATAAAAAGCAGGATTATTCCTAGAAAGCTTATGCAACTTTTTGTCTGTAGGTGGTACATGTTTCACAGTGATGCATTTTAGCTACCTAGTAATAACATCACATCATTATGTTTGAATTGTAACCTTTTTTGGCGTTTCTTTGTATGATAAATTGTATTGTATTCTTAGCGTAGTCTTGATTTCAATTATATTGAACCAAATAAGGATCGCAAGTCCCAACCCCTAGAAATCTTGGTTGAAAACTCCCTAGACACCGGTCTTACTCATAATGGTTATGTTTTTTTTTTTTCGTTGTTTTATTCTGTCCTTTAATCTGGTAAGTCTGGTGGTTATCGTCTTTCAGGAATGAAAATCTTATATTATTGCTCACGGTCCTAAGAAAGACGGTTTAAGGGTTTGATCCTTGGCTAACCATAATTTTATTGCTTATTGCTTACAGTTGAGCTTAAAAGTGGTGGATCAAATGCTGAAGCTCGGTTGGGAAGGCGATGGACTTAGCCCTCTCATAAAATGATTGGGCCATGTATTGTTTGAAACTAAAATATTGAAAGTCTTTGTGGAAGAGGTAAACAGGAGTTATATCCTTGTAATCTGACTGCCAAATTGTTCAGACTTCAGATGCTGTTTTTGTATTTCTCATCTGACAATGACAATTTGGTTTGTATTGTATGTAATCATCTTCATGTATTTATGTATCAACACGAGGTTACGAAAATAGGTTTGATAAAGGCTAGTTTAGGTACATTTTTGACTTGAATGAGTTGTAAATTCTTCGGTATTCATACAGGTTAGGCTGTAAAACCCTCTGTTCAGTTAAACAAGAATACAAATATACGGTTGCCAGTTCCTTTTACATAATAAAATCTGGAGTTGCCTTATTCTTTTGATAGAATTTTTGTAGTTGCTTTTTTATTTTGAAATGAATTAGAAGTTTCTTCAAACAATAGCATATCTAAAACCTATTTTACTATTTTTAGGATTGCGCTATATCTTTATATCATGCCCTTTCAGTTTTAATATTTTTTTGCACACTATACGCTGAAATTTATTTTAATAAGAAATACACTGAAATTTAATTTAATACGGAATACACTAAGAGGGAAAAAAAAAATACTACCTCTGTTAATGGTTATCTGCAACTTTAAAAAAATTTATATTTCAGAAATAATACCCCAAAGTTACAAATAACTACTAACGGAGGTAAAATATGGTCACACATGAACACAATACCCACATTATTTAAACACTATAAGTAGATGCCATTTGATTTAGAAGCCCCTTTGGGAACCTCTGAAAGCAACTTGGTGGTTCAAAAAAATACTCTAATTGCCAAATTTGATGGCTATATATAATACCCAAAATTTGACAGATTTGGTAGGTAGGACATGACGTAAAAAACACAGGGATTCATAAGGTATGTATATATAGGTCACATAATAGCTCCTATGAGTTTAGCAAACATATAGGACGAAAAATGTACCATTACATGTATAACAGGTGATAGGTGGTAAATATTTTAGAGGAAAATATTCAACGTATTTGATAATAACAAGTACCACTACATGCATAATAGTACACAAAAACTACTACTTAGACAATTTATATTTTAATAGTACATTATACATGTATAAAGGTACATTATAATGTACCAGTGTAGAGTCAACTTTTCCAAAAGCTTGTCAAATTTACAATTTTGCCCTCCTATACGTTTTGTAAACATATAGGAGCTATGCGCCTAGTTGCACTCTTGTTTTGAGCAATTATCATGCATTAGTCACTCACATAAAGGCCTTTGTTGGTCTATAGTCAATGAAAAGAGCACATAAAAAAGCAGCCATATTACTGTAGCGGGGCGTTTGGATTGTGGGAATGGGAGTTTGGGGATTAAAATGTGGGAATAGGATTGGGAATTAATTGATGGGAATACATGAAAATATGCCAATACCTTGTTTGGATAGTGGGTGGGAATATATAGGGAATAAATAACAATTTTACAAAAACACCCTTACTAAGATTATTATTTCATTCATTTTATTAGAGATGTCAAAAGTTGAACCGACCCGAAATACCGACTCAAACCCGATTATTAACCGAACCATCTGAACCCGAAAAAATGGTGAACCAAATCCGGCCTAACCCGACCTGAAACCAACCCTAGACCCATGTTGACCCGAATATGTGAGACCCGAACATGAACTGACCTTGATATGACCCGACCCGAATGTGACCCGTAAATTATTAACCTGAACCGAACCCGACTTGAACCGAAATTGACCCAAACCCATTTTAACCCGTCTAAACCCAAATTTAACCCGACTTGTTACTAACCCGACCTGAATTCAACTTGACCCGTTCCTAACCCGACCCGAATTTAACCCAACCTGTTACAAACCCGACCCGAAATCAACCCGACTTGTTATTAACCTGACCCAAATTCAACTCGACTTGTTATTGACCCGACCCAAATTTTACTAGACCTGGCCTAATACTCACCTGACCTAAAAATTAAACACGATCTGTTACTAACCCGACTCGAAATCAACACGACTTGTTATCGACCTGACCTAAATTCAACCTAAATTGTTCCTAACCCGATTTCAAATCATCTTAAATGCAATTTAGACCACCTTATTATTGTTGATCAAAGCATTTTGTATAAGGAGACCAAGTCGGTTCAGGCCAACAAAAGAAAGGAGCATCATCCTCAAATTTAAGAGTTAAATATAGTATATATTTGTTGTATGGTCAAAGTAGATATATAATTATCTTCCTAGATTATAGACTATAGTTCCCTAGTATATTGTCATATATATTATAGTCAAAGGAAATAATTAGCTTGATAAAAATGATAATTATCTATTTATAGTTAGTTGAACCCGAATATAACTTGATTTGGAAATGACCCGACCTAATTGTAACCTGCAAATTATTGACTTGAACATAACCCGACTTGAATCCGTGAATGATCCGACTTGGAAATGACCCAACCTGATTATAACCCGCAAATTATTGACTTGAACCGAACCTGACTCGAACCCGAGAATTACCCTAACCCGTTTTAACCCGACCTATTGTTCACTCAACCCGATTGTAACCCGTCCTGTTATTAACCCGACCCCAACCCGATAAGAAGTATGACCCGATGTGACCCGACTAAAGCATGACCCCGAGATATATCCCCTATAATTTGAAGACTTTTCGACACCGGGCCCCGAAACCTACAAAATTTCTCAAAAAGTGTTGACATTAGCATTCAATTTTTGAATTTTTTTAACTTTTTTTCACTCGAAAATAAAAACTGTCGAAACGTTTACCATAGTCACTAATACCCTCTGGGATCCAATTGGGTGGGTGGAACCATCCAATTTTCCTTTAAAATGCCAATTTATCGATTTACAACTTGCATCGATTTCATTAATTCAAGCCTACCACGAACATTTATGACAACATATAATGATCATATATGGTTCCAAACGACATTATATGACCCCGAGAAGTATCCCCTAAAATCTCAAGCCTTTTTAACACAGGACCCCGAAACCTCCAAAATTTCTAAGAAAGCGTGGATATTAGATTTCAATTTTGGAATTTTTTCACTTATTTCGCCCGAAAATAAAAATTGTCGAAATGATTGTCATGGTCCCTAATACCCTCCGGGAGTCCAGTTGGGTGGGTGGAACCATCCAATTTGCCTTTAAATGGCCAATTTACAGGTTTACAACTTGCACCGATTTCATTAACTCAAGCTTACCACGAACATTTATGAGTACATACAATGATCATTTATTGTTCCAAATGGCATTATATGACCCCGAGATGTATCCCCTAAAATCTCATTTGTTTTCGACACCGGGCCCAAAACCTTTTTCTCAAAAAGCATGGATATTAGCCTTTAATTTTGGAATTTTTTGACATTTTTTTCGCATGGAAATAAAAATTGTCGAAATGTTTACCATGATTCCTAATTCCCCTCGGAAGTCCAATTAGGATGGTGGAACCATCCAATATGCCTTTAAACGACCAATTTAGCGTTTTACAACTTGCACCGATTTCATTAACTCAAGCCTACCACGAACACTTATGACAACAAATAATTATCATATATGGTTCCTAACGACATTATATGACCCCGAGATATATTCCCTAAAATTCCAAGGCTTTTAGACACCGGGCCCCGAAGACTCCAAAACTTTTCAAAAAGCGTGGATATTAGCCATCAATTTTGGAATTTTTGGACTTTTTTCGCCCGGAAATAAAAATTGCCGAAATGTTTAACATGGTCCCTAATACCCTTCGGAAGTCCCATTGAGTGGGTGAAAACATCTAATTTGCTATTAAACGACAAATTTACTGATTTACAACTTGCAGCGATTTCATTAACTCAAGCCTACCTCGAACATTTATAACAACATATAATGTACATATATGGTTACAAATAGCATTATATGACCGCGAGATGTATTTCTTAGAATTTCAAGACTTTTCAACACCGAGCCCCGAAACCTTCAAAATTTCGCAAAATGCGTGGATATTAGTCTTCAATTTTAGAATTTTTTGTATTTTTTCGCTCGGATATAAAAATTGTCAAAATGTTTACCATGGTCCCTAATACCTTCCGGGAGTCCAATTGGTGGGTGGAACTATCCAACTTACCTTTAAACGGCCAATTTACCGGTTTATAACTTCATCGATTTCATCAACTCAAGCCTACCACGAAACATTTATGACAACAAATAATGATCATATATGGTTCCAAACGGCATTATATGACCCAGAGATATATCCCCTAAAATCTCAAGACTTTTCGACACCGAGCCATGAAACCTCCAAAATTTCTCAAAAACCGTGGATATTATAGCCTTCAGTTTTGGATTTTTTTGACTTTTTTCGCCTGTAAATAAAAATTTCCGAAAGGTTTACTATATTCTCTAATACCCTCCGGGAATCCAATTGGGTGGGTAGAACCATCCAATTCGCCTTTAAACGACCAATTTACCGGTTTTCAACTTGCACAGATTTCATTAATTCAAGTTTACCACGAACATTTATGACAACATATAATGATCATATATGGTTTCAAACGGCATTATATGACCCCGAGATATATCCCCTAAAATCTCAAGGCTTTTCGACACCGAGCCCCAAAACCTCCAAATTTTCAAAAAAAAACGTGGATATTAACCTTCAATTTTGGAATTTTTTGACAATTATTTTTCGCCTGGAAATAGAAATTGCTGAAATGTTTACCATGGTATCTAATACCCTTCGAGAGTCCAATTGGGTGGGTGGAATCATCCAATTTGCCTTTAACCGGCCAATTTACCGGTTTACAACTTGCGCCGATTTCATTACTTATAGCCTACCACGAAACATTTATGACAATGTATACATATATGATTCCAAACGGCATTATATGAACCCAAGATGTATCCCCTAAAATCTAAAGGCTTATCGACACCGGGCCCCAAAAAATCCAAAATTTCTTAATTAAAAAATATGTATATTAGCTTTCAATTTTGAATTTTTTTTACTTTTTTTCGCCCGTAAATAAAAATTGCCAAAATGTTAACCAAGGTCCCTAATACCCTCCGTGAGTCCAATTAGGTGGGTAAAACCATCCAATTTGCCTTTAAATGGCGAATTTACCGGTTTACAACTTGCACCGATTTCATTAACTCAAGCCTACGACAAAAATTTATGACAACATATAATGATCATTTATGGTTTAAAACAGTATTATATGACCCCAAGATGTATTCCCTAAAATCTCAAATCTTTTCGACAACGGGTCCCAAAACATCAAAAATTTCTCAAAAAGCGTGGATATAATTAGCCTTCAATTTTGGAATTTTTTTTTAGTCGCCCGAAAATAAAAATTGTTGAAATG